CTGCTAACTGGTCTAATGATCATGCTCCTTGTTTTCTTTGGGACTTGTCGGAGAAAGATGTCTAAAATTTATGTCATGTCAATGTTTTGCATTGACTATTCATCCGAACTGTCATTTCTCGTACTTTCAGCATGTGAGTTATTGGATCTCATTCATCAGATTAATTTTGACGATATCTTTGCAGTTCTGCTGGAATTCTATGCACCTTGGTGTGGACACTGCAAAAAGTTGGCTCCTATATTAGACGAAGTTGCAGTCTCATTTCAAAATGATGCTGATGTTATTATTGCAAAGCTGGTAAGATAGTGTCCTTTTTCATGCCTTAGTCTCTTCCATCATTATTGATTTTCTTGTTTTGTGGGGAAAAGCATGTTATCCGAAACCAAAGCTTAGTGATAACTTTATTGCATGAAGTTTAAAATGTAAAACATTTCTCTATTAGGAAAAAATGTGGACCTAGATTCCCATTCTCATTTCACGCACAGGGTGGGTGTGGGGCTTGGCCTTTTTTGGATTTTTCTTTTTCTTTTTTTTTGGGGGGGGGGGTGTTCCTAGTCTCATCAAACGTGGGTGTGTTTTTTTGTTACATTTTAAAATTAAGGTCCTTTAAGTTGTATTAGACCTCAATTCAGGGAGGTAAAATATATTTTTCCCCTGTTTCTATCAACACTTCTAACAAATTGGCATGAGCAGCGTAATGATAGCTACTCTGAAAATGATTGTTTATAAAATAACAGGATAATAGCAGCGATAACTGTCTGCAGAATTCAAAGAAATGCACTTGTATGCAATTTTCAATATTATTTATTGTTTGTTTAACTTTGTTCTGTACTTCATTTGTGTCAACCCCAGGATGCAACTGCAAACGATATACCTAGTGAGACCTTTGATGTGCAAGGCTATCCGACTTTGTACTTCAGGTCAGCCAGTGGAAAGATATCACAATATGATGGCAATAGGACCAAGGAGGACATCATCGATTTCATTGAGAAGAACCGCGACAAATCTGATGAGCCTGCTCCGCAAGAAGCACAAACAAAAGATGAACAAGCAAAAGATGAGCTTTAAAATGGTAAGATATCTGTATCGAACTTTGTATTTAGTTTGCTCGGATAATGCTCGTGGCTGAACACGAGGGCCTGCGCACTCTTACAAGAGAAGTTATCTGGAACGATTTTTTCCTGTGTTCCCCATTCATAATACAATCGAGCTGTCTCCCCTCTGCAGGATAGCAAGCTGGTGTGGCTCGCAGAGAGGATGGAGGAAATGTCAGTCAACATTATCTCTGTAGCTTTGCATCAAATATGTTAGAGAAACCTGGTGCCAATCTCCCTATGCCTACCATAAACTTTGTCGGTTTTCTGTGATCAGATATGTTTTGGTGAAAAGCGGGAGATTTTTTGGTATGGATCGGATGGGATTATCTCTGGGTAGTGTAGTTTAAACTTAATAAAATTTATGGCTGCTGTAATTTTGACCCGAATGAAATTATTTTGTCGTTATATTGTTGGAGTTTGCTTTATCTTTGGATATTCTGGAGAATGTGTTTGTCTCGATCTTATCAGTCATCAGTAACTGGACCATAGAATTTCCAACGCTAGGTACCCCAAGTATGAACTCTTGGAATGACGTGGTTTCATTTCGTTCATTTGCGTGGGCTGTCTTTCGTGGGTCCATTAATTGGGTCCATCTTGAGGAGTCAAGGACTGCTCAACTGAGGTCGCCCTTAGCAGTACATTCAGAAAGTTAGGGCCTGTTTGAAAATTTATTTTGAGAATAGTTTTTTGTTCTCCAGAATAAAGAGAACAAAAAAATAAAATATTATTTTGGAGAATAGAAAAATAAAAATAATTTTTAAATGTTCTGTGATTATTGTTTTGAAAAATAAGGGAGAATGAAAAAAAAAACTTTTTATTCTTTTTTGTTCTTAAAACATTTTATAAAATCAGTTTTCAGAAGAATAAAATAAAAACAGTTTCAAATGGTTGCTTGTATTGTGGGAGTAGCCCTCATTCGCCAATGACTGGTGACTAGTTTTCAAGTAGTACTTGCCTTTGTTTCCAAGACCCCACAAAAAAAAAAAAAAGTTATTAGTATCAAAACAATTCAAAACAGGAGTTAACACGGAAGCAGTAAGTTGTGGTTGCTACCTGGAGATGTATGTACTGTACGAGCAGGATGTTCGAGAAATGGACGCGTTACAATGCTTGGCTCAGCATTTGTGGAAAATGTTATACGCACCCACCATGGCATGAACTATGGGAATGCCGGAATTGGTCATGAGCCATTGAGGATTAATTAATAATTATAGTAAGTCGAATTATTTATGAAATGTAAGCTGTGAAAATGCGTCCGGTTAATCAGACAGATGCGAGGAATGTTTTTATCACCAGTAACGTTTGCTCAGGCCTCAGTTATGCCTGACCTTACGCCGGACCAGATCTATGAATTATTTCAACTGAGGTCAGGTTGATATGATACGTTGATATGGCATGTCCCTGTCTATGATGACCGGGAAAATAATGAAATTTCTGGTATGGAAAACACAAATTTCATTATTTTCCCGGTCATCTTAGACAGTGAAAACTCCATACCAGAAACTTTCAACTTTTACCATAATGGCTTATTGACTGCTTTCGAGTTTGGCAATGACTTGTGTTTTTTTGGATCGAAGTTTGGCGGTGAAATCACTTGTTTAGTCTCGTAACGGCCTAAATGTTTTCACATTTTATCTGGGGCCCGTGAAGTTAAGTCTCTGGTATGGAGATTCGAGATCGAGAACTTGTAGATCATGTACTTTGTCCGGCTCAACGTCGTCTTTGGTCCCTGCTAGCCAGCGTATGAAACAACTCTGGATGTCCTGCGACACAATTGAAATCGACCGAACGCGACATCCAGACGACGGCCTTCTGAGAATTGAGAAATTTTAACTTCTTAAGAGTCCGTGACTTGAAAAAATTATGGAACAATTGCACTGCAGGCCTTAAAATAATATAAAATTTCACTTAGAGCTCAATACATTCTCATATTGCACTACAAGCTCAATAACCCTTGTTGCAATATTTTTTGAAAGTGAAAGTACAATTTTGCTGTTATGTAATTTGAAAACTCAAATCATGTACAATACAACATTTATGAATATATAACACGGTATCCATAGACTTGCAACACAATATCTATGCATGTTCAATTGATATATAAATTAAAATATACATCACATAGAGCATGTATAACATAATGTTCATGGATGTACAACATGATGTTCATGAATTATCAATACAATGTTTATGCATATCTTGATTTATAGGTTAGTTAAAATAAAGTCACATAGAGCATATACAACACAATATCTATGAATACACAATACTATATTCATGAATTTTCAATATAATGTTCATATATGTCTACGCATACACATTTAGTTGAGAATGCATAAACATTATATTGTACATTCATATACATTGTATTGTATATTGTATTCATCACTTGTACATTTTCTCAAGTCTACTTATTAACTAGACCCATATAGACATTGTGTTGTGTATTGATAGACATTGTATTGTGTATGATTTGTTTTCAAATCACATAAGGGTAAAATTATATTTTTGCTCTCAATAAAAATTGTAACAAGAGTCTTTGGACCTGCAGTGCAATAATAAACTATATTGGGCCTGCAGTGCAATATCCATTTTGGAGCCTGCAGTGTGATTCTTTCAAAAATTATAATTAAGCAGAGTGGTCTCATATTGAACTAGTCAAGATGGCAATTCAAAGAGGTATTGATTCAAATAATAGTTGAATTGGAGCCAATTCAGTCATGATTTTTTTTAACTGTGAAAAATGTTATTTTATACTCAACAAAGTGAAAACATATATATATATATATATATATATAAAATTCAACCCGTTGGACCATCTAAAATTATTTACTGAACTGGCCAGATAATTGGTTCAGTGATTTACTGGAGTTGAATTTTAATACCATGAATTTTTAAGACATGCAAGCTAAAATTAAAGCTAATCCGTCAGTTAATCTTTCATCTGTCTTAGAACTTTAGATGTTCTAAGAAAATAAATTAACTAAAATGTCCTAAACCAAATAGGGACCTGGATATTTTTATTTCACGTCAAATTAAAGCCACTTTTATAAATATATTTTTAATCATTTATTGAAATTTAGGACGAAATGTTACCTAAGAAGTTGTTGTATAATCTGGTACATCACTGAAATAAGCATTTGGCCCTTTGGGAAAAGTCAATTGGAAACGAGGACATTGTTGGTGAATGGCGTTTATGGATATTAAAAAAAAAAAAAATAGTTCTAGCATGAAGAATAATATACCATACCTCCCATGAATGATCAAATTTTGAAAAATATTAGTAAAAGAGTAATGCATATAGGTAAACGTTAATAATTAAATTATAGAGACAGTTTTTTTTTCCTATCAACCCCACACGATTATTTTTTATGTTCCGAATAATATTTGTCATTATTTGTTTATTTTATTTGTATTTAAAAATTATTTCTTTATGCAAATTTTAGCCATGAAATACTTTTCATTTGTTAGGTAATATGATATGGAAATATCCATGGAGTAAATACCTATGCGAGCAATTTTATGACACGCAATAATGACAATGCATACTAATTCAGTTGGAGTGTCTTTCTCTTTAAATCCCACCGTTTCAACTTACGATACTTATGCATCAATAGAAAATCGATGTTACTCACGACCAAACAAGAAAAAGAACATCGATGTTACTATTGGAAATATTTGAATGGAGCTTACTTTATATTATCACTTTTTTTATGAAAAAAAGTTTAGTTGAGGATTCCTGGTTTTAGAATGTCAAAAGAGGGAAGCACGCGTATCGTCGCGTGAAATGCGAGAGGCAAGGATCTATCATCTATGAAGATATGCGTCCGAATAGTTGAGAGATACTGAGCACTAAAAAGTATCACTATAGTGAGGCCCTGGGAATGATTGAAACTCTCGAAGTGAAGAAACTATCCATTGGGATCATCATTATCATAAACTAAATATATATTTATACATGCACGAATCACGTCTTTATATTTAATTATTGTTTTACACGACCGCCAAGCCTTTGAATTTGGGTCTGGGTCTGTCAGAAGGTTGAGGAGACATGGCCTTCCTTTTGGCGATACAATTGCTGTTATTACTGTTGGGATTGCAGTCATTGTCGGTTGCTACGTCACTGTTACCAGATTCTTGTTCGCTTGAATTATTCGTATTCTTATTGAGGGACTTCACAAGGTACGGCTGAAGCTTCTTCAGGTCTGATAACTTCAGTGGCTTCAATAGAAACTCCTCTGCTCCTCCTTCCAAGCACCTATATATATATATATATATATATCCAACACGAATTAATATTCTTGCTTTGAATCTCGCCTTCCTTTTTTCTTGTTAAAATCCAACATCTTACCCAGAATCTTCTTCATTCTGATTTCAGAAGCGGAAAAGAAAGAAAAAGAAAACTCACATGCTGATTCTGGATGGTACATTCTCTGATGACATGATCACCACTGGTACGTGTTTCCAAGAAGATCCCTGCAGCTATATATATGCCACGTCAATTTTTTTTTAAAAAAAAAGCAGCAGAAGAAATCCCAATAAAAATTAACAGAAAAGCAAAGAAAAAAAATATGGACTTCATATTGATTTTCCTTGATATTTTTTCCCTTAACAGTTCTGAACCTGCAGCATATAAGAACAAACACTTGAGGAGGAAGGCGATGCTGATTGCTGAGCATGTTTTCAGTGTGATTGTTTAGATTTTTCATAATTTATAATTAACTAATTGAATGATTTGTTTTTAAAAAATAGTGGTGGGAAAAAAGACGGAATTTTGGGGGAGATGTCGGGAAATAATGAGGATTTTGACCTTGACTCGTTTAAGCAAATCATAGCCACTCATCCCTGGCATGCAGTAGTCCGTCATGATCAAATTCACTTTCATTGCCTGCATTTCGACACAATATCCAACACATATTGTTACTGTTACGGCTCATTTTATATATTATCTGGAACTAAAGTTACGTACTGATCAAAAGCAAAGAGCGAATAAATCCACGATTGATGGGCTTGGAAAAGAGACGATCTCCATAGAGTGAATTTACCACTATATCAGATGCTGAATCAAAATAATTAAGAGATTCGAGGAGCCTAAGCAAAGTGCCGTACGTAGAATCCTCATTAAAGCATTCTCCCTCCCTCTCTCCCCCTCTATATATATAGATATATATCGCAAGTGGTTTTTCTCCGACCACGTAATTATACTCCACATTTCTCTAAAGCATTCATTATCATCATCAAGAAGCTAGCTATTACTTTCGTAGAGTGTATACATAGTTTGGATCTCTTTGTTATCAGGGTTATGATTTTCATCAGATGCACTTAATTTGGATGTATATAGCGAGAAGAATTCTAGTATCGATATATATATATATATACACATATATAGTTCATATATGATTAATAACTTGAATTCAGTAATATTGTTAAGAAATAATTATTATATTTTCATGGTACCCTATGTTTTGAAAAGAAACTAATTCTCATTCAGAACTGAATCAGGTCAAGGATATTCCCCGCCGTTTCGCACCTCTTCATCTGCATCTCCTCATTTTGTTTGTTTGGCTTGTTTATGCATCCGACAGCAATGTTCTTTCTAAAGAAGGAAAAAAAAAAGAGGCATGCGGCAATCATGCATATTTTTGTGGTTTATTATTAAAAAAGGAGGCAAAAACAAAGGAAAATGCTGCATAAAAATTGAATCACAAGCATGAAATTAAGGATTAAAATGTTAAAAATAAGATAAAATCATAAACACTATTTTAACCGCAGAAGATGAGAAGACTGAGATCCAATACATCAACTGAAAAATGCAGTAAACAAACTCAAGCACATGGAGGAGGAGGAGGAAAAAAGCTAGGAGAGAATGAGAAAGGTGGTGATGAATTAACCTCTTGTCGGGGTGAGTGAGAAGAGGACGGTGATGAGTCGGAAGAAGTTGAAGAAGCATTATCAAGATCATCAAGAAGACCGAGATATTTCAAAGCCTTGTCGCCGGAGTCCACACTCGTCACTAGGTAATTTTTGGAAACAAAAGAAACACATAAAATACCCGCACACCTCATAAATTAAAACAGCTCCAAATTCCAGAAGGAGAAATCGAAATTAAAGTCAAAAATTGTAGAGCGGAAGGGAAGGTACCTTTGCACGAAGAGACCTGGAGGAGCTTCTCGAGAAGTTTGCGGTCGATGAGACTGTCATCGACTGCCAAGACATGGAAATGGTGCAGATCTTCTTCCTTGTGCAGTTCAATACTATCCTCAGCATCCGATTCCGCATCCGTCTTCATTCTCAGCGTTAAAGAATTCTCCGTCGTAGCCGCCACTCTCCCCGTCTCCATATTATGCATGATCAGTCAGTAGAACTGTGTGTATATGTGAATTCTGAAACATACAAAGAGGGAGAGAGAATTTTTTTTTTGGGGGGGGGGGATGAGAGTGAAGGGCATGCGTTTGTGATGTAGCTTTTTGATGAGAAGGAAGGTGGGGTGCATGAAATGAGAAAAATGAGAATGAAAACTGTGAGGGCACAGTGAGTGGTGTGTGTTGTGTTGTTATTAGTGTGTGCGCGCTTCTTCATGCCTTCAAATCTCTCCCTAGATTCTCTCTACCGCGTTGGTACAACCACCACACACACTTTTCCTTTTTATTTTCTTCCCATTTTGACACCCCCATCATGCCCCAAAATCCACCCAAAATATATATATATATATATATATATAATTTTTTTCCCCCTCTCTGCACAATTTGTATTCAAATCTTTCCATTTATACACTTGCAATTCAACCATCTATCCATTTTCTACAATACCGTATAATTTGTCCCTGCTTTTCCTTTTATCCCTACCCCGGCCAGCCTATAATGCACACTTGCGCAGTACTACATTTGCTACAACTCACAGATACAGCCTCGCCTCATCCTTACTTTATCCTACTTAAGTCGCCCAAAGGAGTGCACGTAGGATCGATGTGACCCTGACTCCGCATCACCATTTTATTATGATTATAATCTTATAACGCATTAACGCATGCCATATTCATTATTGATTTTGTATTTATGTTCACGTGTTTAAGCCTGGCCTATATATGTGTCAATCAGAGAAAGCGTAATGTTACCAGAAGAAAATTAGTCTTATCCCTAGCTACAGTAATGGAGTGACATATGATGGGGTCATTTTTCTTATCAATATATTGCCAAGTCTTTTTTACATACATGTGTTAGAGCTAGAAAACATGTCCTCGAATAAGAAAAACATTTAAGGATGCTGAGACTGTAAAATATGAGATTTACACGCGTGGGGTGAAAAATTGATGCTGCAACCAAACCATGGCTTGCGCATCAGTTTATGTTGAGAGACCTAGAACGAACATACACAAACAAAGAGATCGAGAGTGCGTGTGGTGAATTGATACCGCGAAATATGTATAAAGTAATTAGAGTAAGTGAATGAAAGTATGGATCATTTAATTTAATTTGTTGGGTTTGACACAGTTTTGGGAGATGAACTTGCGTTTGTGGCGTGTCTATAAACGAGGACATCGACGAGAAAGAAGGAGGAAGGTGGTTAAGATGATAATTCATGAATGGGGCATTTTCATTTGAACCCAAAATTACGCAAACAACAATAACAAGATCTGGACGAGATCTCGCCGAATATATGACATTAAAGGACGTGCTTGCCTGAATTTGGACGCAATGTTGACAATGCCCAGGACCCAACCGCTCCCATTAAAGAAGACCACAAAGCTAGAAATTGAAGTAAAAACAAAACCCGTGCAGTCCATGTACGTACGTATAAACTCTGATCATGACTAACAACAGGATTAACAATTAATTATTCCTCTGTTCGGGTAAACACCTCGCAAGATGCTGACTCCATGATTAAGATTCGAGAGAGCTGAAAAGGGAACAAGAGCCGGCCATTGATTCAAAACAGTTCTGGACCCGCGGAGTAAGAATAATATTATATCCAGATGAATCAATTTGGATGAAAAAAGATATGGGTGCTGATAATGTTCTTGCTGAATTAATAACAGTGAAGGAGACAAGAAAGAAAATGAATAAAGGTTGTTGCTTGTTACTGGGGACCAGGAAAGGTGGGGCCCGCGAAACAAATACGAGTGCATGAAATCTTGAGTGGGTCCGTGCAAATATAATCTTTAGCGGGGCCCCCTTCCCGTTCTGCTCTCAGATCTCCCAAATTTCGAATCTGTTCCCATCGAGGGTGTCCAAAGCAGAAAGTTTTTCCGTCTGTGGTCAGAATTCGGATTGTTCAAAATCCTCTTGCTCATACATTTTTACACTCGAGTGGGGGCCCAATTGCTGTCTGCCACGTGGTTCTCCTTCCCATGTGTAGACTCCATCGTACGTCTGACAGGGAGGACAGCGTTGTAACGTGGTCGCACATGAACCGTCAGATCACATCACTATCATTAGGGCTGCACGAAAGACTGGACAGGAATGAACTTCAGCCTAATTCGAAATCTGGTCCTTTTTATAAAAAGGACTGGGTTAGATAATCCGTAGTCTGGTCTGATCTTTTGAAAACTCGGAGATTAACAAGACTGAACTTGGTCCATAGAATAATTAATAATTTATAAATTAATTTTAATTATATTAAAATAATTATATAGGACCAAACCAGACCACTTAGTCCAGATGCTTGGTCTCTAGTCTGGTCTTATTCGAAAAATCAGTCTTGTCTTTTTGGTCCTATAGGACCAGCATTTTACAGAATTGGACAGGATCGGATTTTTATGGGTCGACCAGACCGAACGAGGTCACGAGACTTTTGCACAGCCCTAACTATCATGTACAATAATATTCACCTCGATTTTTATGCCCTACCCCTTCATGCTACCTTGCTTTTAACACCTTTTTTTTTGTGTGTTATGGGGGAGGATTTAATTAAACTAGAAAGTTAAAAAAAAACCTCCCCCTCGTATTCCTTTTCCTTTTGGCTGTGTTCTCTCCAGTCGGGACAGTTCATCAGTATGTTTTATATATGAAACACTGCATGCAACGCGGCACACAAAAGAGAAGAGAAAGCGATATAAAATATGTGCAGCTATGTTTGAATGCACTCCTTGCAGGATCATTTATAAGATTCTTTTTAAAAGATTTATTTAATTTTATTTATAAGTTATAGTGTAATTTTTTAAGTAATATTTAAAAAATATTTTTAAAATTATTCTTTATAAGAGAAAAAAATAACATAACATTACTTTTTAGATTTATTATTTAAGAACATATTTAAAGTTTTATACTTTTATTTTTTATATTTTTTTGCATTAATTTTGATAAGATTGATAAAAATGATTTATAAAAAAAATTAAAGGAATATATAATTGTAATTAAACTAGTTGGCAAGTTCGATCGGTGAGAAGTAACAATTAAATGACGCATGTATTATTTTATTCGATCGTCTGGTCGAGGACCAAATTACTTGAGAAATAAGGTTATAACTGTTTTGGTTAGGCGAACTAATTGGCTTTCATTCCAGTGAACCTCGATCGATTTTTGGTAATCAACTAACTGGCACATCCATTCAATTAGTAGTGTGGGCTGTATACTTTTTACAAGATATACTCCTTCTATTTAAAAATGTGAAACATTTTTAACTAAATCTCACCCTTCAATAAAGTAGTTATTTAATTTCTAGCTAATCCTATCTTTTTATATTTATCCTTATTAAACACTCTACAATAAATATAAAGTCATTATCAATAAGAACACTTTTCAAAAAAGATAATGATTACAATTTAAAAAAATAAAAATACCTTATATTTATAAACATCTAACTTCATAAAAAATATTTTATATTTTTAAATTATTTTTAAATTGAGAGAGTATAAATGATGTGCATGTTCAATCTCATATTCCTGTCCAGAATATACAACGCCGCCTCATTTCGTGAGATTTTTTTTTTTGTCAGAACATTTTGTGAGTTTTTAATCATACAAATAAATGGATTAAATATTAAACTATGCTTTCATAAACAAAACTGTCGAAACTAGCCATTATATTGCATTGCACGCTCCTTGAAATAAATGCTCTTGCTTTATGGGCTACATTGATGCTGTCAATCAATTCGGAGAGATAAATACACACACACACATACATACATACATATATATATATATATATATATATATAATGAACATATATTCATAGTCTTCCATGCCTCTTACCTTTATTATATATCCAACTGTATGTGAATATTGCCAGTACAGATGTGCAAAGCAAACACGCGCAGCACAACTTGTGCAGTCTTATGCACTGACGAATATCACTATTACAAGATAGGCCGTAGGTAAAAAATAATATCAACAACAGTTAAAAAATCGTTATTGTTATAGAAAATGTTAAGAGTCAATTCCTTTCAACGACACTTTCAAAATCTTTATTAAAAGTTGCCAATTATTTAAATTTTTTATTAAAAACAGAGGTACTTTCAATATCGGCAACAACCAACGTTGGAAGCCTTTTTTTTTTTTTTTTTGAAGTTTCATGTGTTTCTACTTATTCTCTCTATTACTGCAAATAAAAATATTTTATATAATTTATTGTCTTTCAGTCAATTCCAATACATATAAAGAATATAAAATTCAATAGAAATTACATTAAATTCAAATTGTCTATACAATTTTTAAAAAAATTATCTAAATCTCATATATTATTCACAAAATATTGTATCCAACATTTGAGGATGTCATAAACCTCTTCTTCAAAAAATGAATCTGCAATATCAAACATATAAATTAAAGTATAAAATTACAATTAAAATAGTTTTTGAAATTAACTTTTGAAAAATATATGTACCTCATTAGTAAATTCAATCATTCCTAATGTAATGATATTAATCATGTACCTCATCACGTGTATGCCACACAAAATAAACTTTTGTGATTGCCATGACTATGTATAAACACACACACACACACACACATATATAAACAATCAATAATAAATCTTAATAATTGAATAAGTTAGTTAAGTGTTAGATTCATTTACCTTTGGCTCAGTCCACGTAAAATTCTTGAGTTCATGTATGTGCTTTTTCAAAATTATTGTTTGTTATGTTTTCATTGCCATGTGATCGAGATCACGAGATTAATTACTAACATATCCATAAAAAATTGAATTGAATAGTTTTTGTATAAGTACACTTGCAAGTCTAGTGATTTCTTTATTTCTTTGAGAGGTTTGCAATGGAGGGAGGATAAGAAAAGGACTATATTACTCTTCAATGAAAGAACAGTTAACTGTAAATGGTTCCCACAAAATAGGGTGAGCTAGAATAAATTCACATTTAGCAAAAAAAAAAACTATTAATTGCAAATTATTCCTTACAAGTGCACGCATAAAGTCATGAAAACTGTTTTAGCTTCATATATTCTTTGCTAGAGGTACTGAGACCTTATGTTTAGAGTATTCCATTTCTCTGTCATGTGATGCAGGCAAAAGAAGATGAACTTATCATCTTTGCTAGATGTGATGCACAAACGATAAAGATATCTATAATAATGCAATCATGATATTTTATTAAACTTGATAAGTTAATTATATTCAAGAAAAACATACTCACAGCATAAATAATTCAATTGACACGATGGTAAGCTAACTTTTTTAAAGAAGCC